TCATATTGATTTCATGCACATCCTCATCAACATTCTCTGGTTGTTTGTACACATTAAAAATATTAAGCCCTAATGTCATATTCTCGAAAGTTAACTTCATCACACCATTCCTGCAATTAATTAGGGCATTTGAAGTAGTTAGGAATGGTCTACCTAATATAACAGGAATTTGAGCATTAGAACTTCACACAGGTTGAGTATCCAAAATTATAAAATCCACAAGAAATTAAAACTTATCAACCTGTATTAAAACATCTTCCACTATATTCCTCGGTATTTTCATTGATCGATCAACCAATTGAAGTGTAACCGAAATGAGTTTTAACTCCCATAACCCTAATTGTTCATATACTGAATAAGGGAGCAAGTTCAAACTAGCTCATAAATCCAATAAAACCTGTTCAATTTAGTGGTTACCTATAACACAAGAAATGGTGGGGCAACCTGGGTATTTATATTTTGGTGGACCCTTATGTTGTATGATGGAAGATACCTGCTTAATCAAAAATTCCTTCTTTTACACATTTAATTTCCTTTTAACAGTACATAATTCTTTCAAAACTTTTGCGTAAGAAGGTATTTGTTTAATGGCATCCAACAAGGGAATGTTGATTTTGGTCAAGTTTATCACCACTCTCTATAGGTTTTGAAATTTTTTCAAATTCTTAAATTATAGTAGAAATAGTTTTATCAATTACTTTACCACTACGAAGTGTGATGACAGACTTTACTTGCTCATGAATAGTGTCTGAAGTGCCCATTTCATTCACATTAAATTGACCGTGTGGATTTGGTTGAGGTTTGGCTGGAAACTTACCCTTTTCTTGATGGAATGAGTCAATGGTCAATTTAGTGATTTCACTCCTAATATCATCAATAGCTTGTGAAGTTTGTATGTTGTAATTATTCTGACTTTACATGAATTGTGATAACACTTCCTCAATATTTCTCTTTGGGGGTAGAACGTAGGGTACAAAATTAGAGGATTTTTGTTGAGGTAACTGTGATGCATGATTCTCTTTCCTCCAACTAAAATTTGGATGATTTTTTCACCCCGAATTGTATGTATTTCAATAAGGATTATTATAAGATTTTGAGAAAGTATTTGTAGAATTTGCTTGATCATGCAAGACTTTTTTTAGAACAGGTAGTGTTGGACACTCCTTCATAGGGTGTCCAAGGATCTCACAAATACTACAAATCTCCTCAACAGATACTATGTCAATTTCATTAACTCTTTTGAATTCCATGGCCTCAATCCTTCTAGCTAAGGTGGCAATTCTAGCCCCTAGATTATCTTCCTCCCTCAACTGGTATTTACCCCCACTTGATGACGATTGTGTGGTCTTACTTTTAGGAGGTTTTTGATTAGTATCACAAGATTGTGCATTCTCTGCTAACTGATCTAAAAAGTCAAATGCCTCGTCTGATTCCTTATTCATAAAGTCACCATTACACATCATTTTCACAAACTGACGCATTTGTGGGCTCAAACCTTCATAAAAGAAACTTATCACACGCCAGCTCTCATAACCATGATATAGACAAGATGCAAGAAGGTCTTTAAATCTATCCCAACTTTGATAAAAAATTTCAGACTCTTTTTGAGAAAAATATCTTATTTGCCTTTTGAAAGAGTTTGTGCAATGTATGAGAAAAAACTTTTTCAGAAATTCTTTTTGCATCTCAGGTCATGTACCTATAGACCTAGGTCTGAGTGAATGTAACCAAGACTTTGCTTTTTTACTTTAATGAAAAGGGAAAGAGCTTCAAACTGATTGTATTTACTGACATAGTCTGATCATGAAATGTGGCACATACCTCCTCAAAGTCTCTAATATGCAAGTACGGGTTTTCTAACTCAATGTCATGAAATTTTGGGAGTAATGCAATCATGCCAGGTTTAAAAATAAAATTTGTAGCATTTAATGGAAAGATGATACATGTGGGTGCAGTGAGACGTGTAAGTTATAGATAATCACGCAAAGTCCGACCATGATTAGCATTCAGATTATCAACATCATTCTCATCATGATTACTTACCCTATCCTCATGATCCTCATGTTCAGGAAGATTATTTTGTCTATTATTATTAGGATCAACAGCCATTGTATGAGAAGTATGATTTAAATTTGATGAATCAAATAAATTTTCAAACAGAATATCTAGATCTTCTCTTATCAAACAACCACTTAAATCACAGTATCAAGAACTCATAAAACAAATAAATGAACTAAATAAATAAAATAGAAATGTAAATTAAATAACAAAAAGAAAATAAATTTAATAAAATGAATAAAATAAATAAAAATTAGAACGAAGTTACCGGGTCTCCGACGAATAATAAATATCGAAAACCTCAAAAGATGTGATGGTGGCTCCTTGTCTTTCAATTTCCCGACAACGATGCCAAAAAACTTGCTTCAATTTTAATATTGTGAACTCAAGCGCATGTTTAGTGAAGTAATATATTTCTTGAAAGACTGAGGTCGAACTGTTAGGGAATGGGAAACAGCAGCAATCATACTAATAATACAACAATCTTGTAACGATGATTTGTTTAAAAGAACATTGAATTGAGAAAATTAATTAAAGTAATTAAAACAGTGTAAAAAAAATACTAGAGTATAAGGTACTCCCTTTCAAATCCATGCAATAATGATTAAAGACTTAATTCTTAACCCTAGACAATAATCAAATATTGGTTGATTCAAGTCACCAATTTTAGCAATAAAACAACAAGACTATCTTTATTTATAATCAGAAGATTATTCAGGAACTTGAATAATCTTCCAATTATATTATTCTGTGAAATAATGATAATTAACTTAAGCGTGGAATAACCAGTTATTTGATTCGCAAGGAAATTCAAGCAATCAATGTACATGACACAATGACTCAAATATTTTTATAGAGCAAAAATTTTGCTGAGAATTCAAAAGTTGAATTAACAAAACATCACATATCATTAAGATCAGAAGTCAATAACATTACCGTACTTCATTGAAAGATCCTCCGCTAGCCATAACTAAACCTTTTAGCTAGACATGATAAACTAAAATCAAAAATAAAATATAAAATAACTCCAAGCAAAAAGTGCTTTTACAAGGTCTTCAACTCCTGTTTATAAGATCAATGAGGAGAAGATTGAATTGCACTGGGATTCTGTTATGACATTGGCAGACTAATCCTTCCGTCCGGACACGACTTCCAGTAACTCCTTTCTTCTAAATTCCACATTCTGCCACTCACGTCCGGACGCGATGCCTTCCACTGTTCGGACGCGTACTCCAGTGTGTTCCTTCTCAGCTATGCTTCACTCCTTGCTCAAATTCTTCCATTCTTGAGCCTTTTTACTACAAAATAAATACAACTTATCCTTTATTAGCATAGTATCAATTCTCAAATATATTATCATATGTATCACCCTTTCTTAACCAAATAATTAATTTTTTTCAATAAACAATGTAAGTTTTAGACCTTAATCTGTTTGTCATGGGAATCAAGAAAACACATACTTGCAAATAAGTCACTTGAGCAATGAGAGAGCAATGGGAAGGTGGTGACTACTTGATTGAAAAAAGAAATTCAAACCAAGGTAGGAGAATATGGACCGCTTGAGCGACCTCATGACTGCTCGAGCTACCTCAAGACCGCTCAAGTAGCCTTAGAGCAACCTAAAGGTCGGTCTCCACTGCCCACTTGTTCAGTTTTTCCTAATTTTTTTTCCTAAATGTTCAGAGATCGCTCTAGCAAAAGCTAGCGAACATAGGACAGTCCCAAACTATTTTTTAAGCTATAAACCAAGAAAAATATTGTCCTTGTGAGCATTAAAGGGTGTTGCTTAATTGGGATCCGATTAAGGACTCAAGACTTTGTTTTCAAAATATATTAAGGTTTAGAAAAACTTTGCTTAAAAAACACCTATGAGTCATTAACGGAATAATCTCTGATTCCATTTTACCTAGTCAACCTAAGTCTAATAAATTAAACAAATGGTGCTAAAGTCTCTAGGTCATTTACCTTTTTCCTAAGCAGGAAGATGCATACAGAGAATCTCTTTCTATGTAGCATAATGACCATGTAATTGGTTAAGATTTACAAAAGAGATTTCACAGAATTAGTCAATTACAAACATAATCCTAACAAACATCTTGTTTTGGTCTTCAATCTTCATAAGCACTTGACCCATCAATTTAGTTGAGATATCAAAATACATTGTGACCTCAGGGAATTTGCCAATTACAGTGAAGTTCCTAAAATCTTAATTTACATCCACATAAATGGATTTAGATTTAGATTCAAATTGAAATTCTACCAATTGAGAACCCTAATCACAAAGTCGGATCAAGGTCCTTTATTGGCACATCATTCACTATTAATGAGTAAGAATATTTGTATATAATCGGTCTCACTTGAATGTAAGAAAGTTGATCCGCCAAGAAATGAATTGAAGAGAAAACGTATTGGACGAGATTTCACTTCCACAAAGTCAAGTAAATATTAAATGTGTCGGTAACATCACGTTACCACCACCATATAGTTTCACCATCTAATAAAAAAAAATCAAATGGACAAAGTGTGTCTCACTTCTTTACAAAGGGTCATTATTAAATTATAGAGCAATGTTATTAGGATGTAATTTAAGGACATACTTTGGTGACTTAATTATTGTGGTCATTGGATTGTTAGTGGGTCCCAATATTGAATTTAATAGTTACAATGTATTACGTCTCTAAATTATATCTTAATAGCATTAATGTAAATTATATGAATGAATAATTATTTAATTATGTAAAATTCGTCCGTTTATTTATTATTATATTAGTAAACAGTTACGGTCAGTATAGTAACATGTTATAACCGTGACTATCAGTATTTTCGCCACAAATACGGATAAGGGTGTCAAATTACTGCTTCATCATTAAGAGACCCCAAACCATCCGCCTTTCATTAGTCACGCATCTGCTCTCTCTCTCTCTCTCTCTCTCTCTCTCTCTCTCAGCCGCAGCTCTCACTCCCTCATTATCACCTGTCTTCCCTCCGTTCCTCCCCTCTGGCGAATCTTCACCGTTTAATTTAACCGGATCTTCAAGTTTGAAAAATGTCAATCTAAAAGGTTGGGTCTGTCTCTGGACCTCTATATATAAGGACAATACTCTTTTTGGATTCTGATATTCGCTTGTCTGCTTTCTTAGGAGTAATATGATTTCGGTTTCTGCATATTAATCATATCCATGTTTATTTTGCTGCTGAATTCGTTCTCTATAACTGGAGATGATGTCCGTCATAGTGTTTGGTTGCCTAGAAAATTGACGTGTAGACTAGGAAATTGCAAATGCGGGCAAGTGATGGTTGTTTTGACATATTTTAGTTTTCTTTTTTGATTTCCTTTTGGAATCGTGTGAACGCTATTTTTGAAATCTTATGGTTCTGGATCCTTAGTTATCTCTGATTTACACCCACACCCACACGTACATCTACAAGTAGAGTCTGATTATTACTCTATTGTAAACATATATATGTACATTCTTCTGACACACAAAGGAACTTGCATCCCTCCATTATGTTTTTCATCAATTTGCTTCAATGGTTAATTACCCATTATGAATATAATTGCAACCCCCTATTTACAAGTGAAGCCCATCATGGTGAGTGATCTTTATTGAGGGATAGTGACGGAAAGCATATTGGAGGGAATCTGAATCCCATATAGAGAGACTAATCATTCATGTTGGTGTGTCTATATACAGACACGTATGTATGCGAATTTGATTTCACTTTTTTTTTTTTGTATATCTGTTTAGTTTCTAGAGCCTAAAATGTGTTGAAATTTCCTTCCTCTGGTTTCTGTGGAACAGAGCTCAAAAAAGGATGATTTATATAACCCTACTTTAATTTCAATCTTTGACATAATGTAATAAACATCCATGTGATTTTTGTGCGTAATTAGATTACTTAGAGAATTAACCATTTTCAATAGAATATGTTTGATTGAATATCTTAGTGTCATACTTTGGTCACCTTGATCTCCGTTTCTTGCTTTTCATTTGCATCTGTTTGATTGAGGACCTATTTGTGCTAATTAGCAAATATATCTTGTTGTTTATCCTTTTTTAGGCCGCTGCTGCGGTTTTTGAATCATACTCAAGAACTCCTAGCTTGTTTCAACTTCTGGTCACTAATGATAATACTACAAATTTATAGACCATCCACCTCACAGCAGTTCACACCAGTTATGGTATTAATACCACCGGTCCAACAAACCTACCTGCCGTACCATTTTCGATCACCCATGTGCCATCGAAAACCTTCCATCCATTTCAGAAAAACAACCCAGATGATCCTCCAGTGCAACATTAGCAGAAGAACATCAATTGTAGCAACAACTTTGATACAACTTGCAAGCGAAGCAATAATTAGTTCACAAACTGCAAATGCATTTGATTTTAGAATGACAGTTCCTGACCAGACACTAGAGGAGGCAGAGAGTGGGATAAGAGACCATGCACAAAGTTTGTTACAAGTGAAGGACTTGTTGGAGGCAGAGTTATGGAATGAAGCACAAAAAGAACTGCGAAAGAGCTCTTCATATCTTAAGCAGGATGTATATACCATAATTCAGGCAAAACCCGGAAGTGACAGGCCTAAGCTTAGGAAGCTGTATTCCACTCTCTTCAACAATGTCACAAGACTAGATTACGCGGCAAGGGATAAGGATGCAATACGTGTTCGCGAGTGGTATGATAGCGTTGTTGTGGCCCTTAATGACATTTTATCTAGAATATAATATGGTGAATTTTAAGCTAATGAGCTATTTCCCCTAATTGAGTAATGTTACATGAATTTAAAAAGTAAATTTGATAATTATAACAATTGATTTCAGTGTAGATTCCAGTATATATTGAGACTTATTACCTATTCAATAATTGTGATTATCAAATTTATTTTTTAAATCCGTGTAACATTACTCTAGACAAATTTTGTTCTCCTCGTTGTTGATATGGTTTGAGCTTCGCACATATGGAGCATCAAGTGAATAATGAATACAATATATGCAAAAAAGACATTCCCGTGCATAAGCCTCCCACCTTTGCGAGGATTTAGGAAGGTCAGATTTATAGACATAATATATGTATAGTAGATTCATTCTATAAAAAAGCTTGAGTCGTGTTATAAAGCTAACAAATTAATGCGGGTCAAACAACTAATTCATAAAGTAAATAGAGATAGAGAGAATACTGAGAGAGAGAGAGAGATTTATTGTACTTTGGAGTATTTCTTCCTTGTCTCACGTTTCTTTTTGGATATATTTTTGCAAAGTTATATAAAACAAAATAATTGAGTTAGATGAAAATACAATATGCTCTGGCAAATCGTCATTATCAGTGGCGGCCGATCACCTGTACACCAAATATTTAATATCTTTATTCAATGTGTAAATTTTAAGATCACATAAAGATATTTGTCTTTTGGATCATGTGTATATATATGTTGTAAGATACAGACTATAGAAAGCAAATTTTTTATTTTTATTTTTTATGGCTTTTGAAATAAATTTCCCTCAAACTCTTCTTTATTATCTCTTTTGTATTACTAGTTGATGCACATTTACATTACACGTGAATAATTTTGATTTATAATTTTTTTTAAATTTTTTTTGTGATATGTTTTACAATATTTATTTGTTTAATAAAATTTTTAGACATAGGTTTTGTACTATTTATTATTTACGAACATGAGACTTTGGAAAGAATACAGAAGAACAATTGTATATTTGGGAAATAATTGATAAATTGAATATCATAACCTATTTAATTAAAAAAAAAACTTTCTAATTCTAAGAAAATGTCTCTTCAGCTCCCACCAAAAATAGGTAAAAAATAACATATTTAAAAAAAAAATGTGAGAATACAAAACTAAAGAGAAAAAGCAAACATGAAAAATCTTGTGGGATATTGTTTAAAGAGTTATCATAATAAAATGAACCATAATGTCCACTTGACTTCAAACCAAATTATCACAATAAATTACTAAAATAATTTAAAAAAAGAACTAAGTTTGCCAAAATAGTGTATAAAAATAGAAAATCAAAGTGAAACTAAGTTTCAAAGCAAATAAGAAATCTGATTTTAAATTCTTCAAGAAAACTAAAGTGGAGGGGTGCAGAGAAAAATAACAATGAGTTATTTGGTCAGCCTTAGTGGGCCAACCAATTTGACATGATGAACATTGAAAATTTTTGCTTCCCTTTGGATGTCAAAGATACTTCGATGTGATGATTAGACAAAATTCTTATTGCTAAGAACTCTCATTTAGCTGCGCAAAGATTTATTTTTTTCATATTAATGTCTTTTAGTATTTTACACATATTACTCACTAAAACAAACTAATGCAATCATTTTACCACAAACAATAAGCTCTTAGTTGAAACCATAATTAATTAAGCTTTCTCATTAAGGGACCGTGGAAGCTTTAGCTAACTTGAACATCACCAGAGGCCCCATCTCGAAAGGAGAACCATATTCAAATGCTTGGAGAAGATAGAAGAATGGTTTTGTCGTTTCCTTGTCAATGAACTTTAAATAACCTTGAGAATTTGTTAAATAAAAAATAGATAGAATAAATTAGAAAAAATGATATGCTTGCAGAACTTGAAAAAAATAGCTTAAAGAGAAGGATATACTTGAAATTTGACCTGCCAAACTTTTATTGCATAATTCATCAATAAGTGCCTAGAAAAAAAGTGAAATTCATTGTTATAGGATCGAGTTGGCTTCTATAGAATCATGGCCTCAACATCGGCTTCGAATTGACCGACTTTAATAAAATCATGCCAAAAGGAATTAGAGGGTACAAAGTTCACACAAAAAATATAATAACTATGTGATAGATCGCATTATACATATAAATACATTTCAGGAACAAACTATAATAAAGGGATACGCAAAACATAATAATAACGTCAAAAACTCGATAACAAAATTAAAAAAATTTCATCACTAACAACCCAAAAATAAAAAAAAAGGTACCATATTGCTTTCATGGGTTGAATTGACCCTCTCATGAATAAGGTCATCAAAGAGATACCCAACAACCATATCATCTTCATTGTTCCATGCCTATGATGGTGTTATATTTGTACAGACTTCAAGAACTCATTTTAGTTAAGTAAAAGTATGAGATTAAATCACGAATAACGTACATCAAACATGAGCAGTTAAATTTGTTGATTACCTATTATTATCAAAGTCATATCCCAAGTCTTAACTCTAAAAAATCCTGCCAAACACAAACCTGCTGCAGCCCACAAAGAAGCAAACCAAGAATGAGAAGAACAAAATATATTCCCAAAAGATGGCGTTGCATTAGTAGCAACGATGACATAACAACTCGGTAGTTGTTGAATATTTCCTTAACTCCTACCACAGTTATTGAATAAAGATAAGTTTCAACAAATATCAAAAAAACTCCAATAACATGAGTTATGTATTTTAATTTTGTTGTATATGAGCTTTTGATGTCTAACTTAAAAAAAAAAGTGGCACCAGCATATTGCTCATAGCTTTGCTGGAAAAAATAAACATGGAGGGCTGAATGTTTAGTAGAAGCCCCAAACATGTAATCTGGTATGTCATTACTTTTGAGTTTGGCACCTTTCTCATTTCATAGTAGAACATGAAGTGAAAAAATAATATAACTGATCAATATGCCAAAAAAATTATGTGGTTTTCAATTCTTTTATGAGAAAATATTAAAGGAAAAATTCATCGAGAACTCTTGTGATTTACCCTAACTTCAATGGGAAAGTGTGAAACATGAGCAGCTAGTTTATGATGTACTGCTTAGTATTGTTATTCTATCTTGAAATTCAACGTGCAATAGTGAAATATGTTTGTAAATTAAATAAGGGGGAGTAGAACAAGCACGTTCTTTGACTTCTTTCGCATACAATTTGGCATCAATCCAGGCAAGGACTTCATGCATTTCAACATGTACGTAGATACAAAACTACTTAAGTCTACAAAAAAATTAAAACACTCAATCAATATCAAAACTAACACTTACGAAGTTGTGATCAAAAGGAAATTATGCAATGTTTGTATACAAATGATATGAATGACATTTTGTTAAAGCACGATAACTTTGATCAAGGGATAGACCTTTCACATAAAAGGGGCAAACTAATCTGACACATGATGGGGCTGACCCTTGTTTTCTCACGTGGCAAAATTTGTTTAGAGTTAAACATCCACCATTTGGGGGCTTTTAAGATGAGAAGGATAAAAAAAATATACTTTTAAGCTGTGAGTTAGGAGTTTTCGTCACTCAAATATGTGACCCGAACAATAAAACCATTTTAATTTAACAAAGAATATGAAAGGTAAGTTTATAAAAATAAAGTTAGTTGAAAATATTGCTAGCAATGCTTGAACAATAAACGCTTAAATGACTGACTAATTTTTTTTTTGGTCACGTAAACCCTTTGCATTTAATGCAAAAGGCGTGTGTATTGAGTACAAATTTTTTTTTCACTATCTAAAACTATAAGCATCATGATAGCTAATTAATTAAGAAATTAAAAAAACCCAATACACCCATTAAAAGAATTAAGCTAACCGAACATCAAACCAAGGTTTTAAACGTATGTGCTAGTATGCTATAGACATATTCTACTGTATTTTTTTTTTGTTGGTAGAAAAAGGGGTGGGGGCAAAGGAGAGCGCCCAGAAACCACACCGATAGATCCTCACTGGGGGGATCATGAGACCCCTGACTGTGCTCATTACTCCCCTCTGGAAGGAACCTAGTTAGGCTAATATAACGGTCAACCACTGAGCCCCAATGTAGACTCTAAGACTTAAACATTCAACCTCAGGGTGAGAAGTTCGACTGGTACCCCACTGGACGACCCCACTCGGTGGTACATTCCACTATAGTTGCTATAGTATACTCCTATTCAATTTCTTGTAATGTTAGATCATCACCAACCATGTATAGGTAATGGTAAGAGACCCACCTGAACATAATAGGACACATTCGGATCCATGGTGGGTGCTATCATTTGGATCCACCTTTGTTCTCTAATTTTACCCCTTCGCTACATATCACACCATGAAACATAATACAAAAGACACCATGGATATCACAGATAAATTAGGAAAATCAATAGAAAAATAATACCCAATCACCTAATACAGTGCATCATAAAGTACTTTTATTTTTTCCCTAGAACAAACATTCCAAATCATTGATGTCAATGGCAATCTAATGATGCAACTTCCAATGAACTAACTCATTAACAACCCAAAAAAATGGCATCCATATCTAATAGACTAAAATAACATGATACTGGCATGTAGGAATGTAGAAATAAAATGATTGGAAAGGGTGAAAATTGGCCATAAACAAAGAAAAGTGTATAAATTTGTAAATTGCTTCTAAGATAAAAGTTGAATAAACTGGAGAGCAGTTTACAAAGGCAACCAAATAAACCTTTTACAAAACTAAATAGAATTGAAAAAGATATCAATTAATACAGGACAAAACACCTTTAAGCCTTACTCAAGAACTACTCTATGATCAATAAATTGAGCAAAGAAAGTTAGCCGAAATACATCTTTAACCGTATAGGACTATACACTGCAAGGCTCCAAAATTGATCAGACGTTGATTGCATTTCATGTAGCAAGACGTGTTTAGTTGTAAAACGATCACGAACTAAAAACCAACAAAATAAGCATCAAATACGAAACAGTAATTAAATCAAACACTGAGTCAACACTTTTCCCATTAGATTAAAAATTCAAAACAATCACAAAAAAATCGTTAAGTTTGACACAATCAGTAA